TGTTCATCGTTTGCTGTAATGCACTTGAGAGTGAAAGTGTTCATTCTTTTATAGGGTGGTGAAAGGTCCCAAACATTAACCCCTCACCCATCATTTAGAAAGAAAAATGTTACTTCAGGTTGTGTGAACCTCACCACCTGTTTACAGATACTGCTTTTTCAGGATATGCTGTGGAAGTGAGACACTGTGTTAAGTGCTTGGTGTTCAGTGATGCAGGCTGCTCTCTGCTGTTGAATTTCTTAACTAAACAACTTTAAACAAGACACTAATTTCTATGCATCAACAGACAAAATATGCTCCTTATCCAGTTAATACTACATATTTTTGCAATAAATGTATTTAGAATGTATAGAGTATAGAAGGTGCCCTATTTTTCCATCAGCTGGCTAATATAATTTGTACTCCAGTCACTGAAATGCAAAGGTTATTTGCAGAAATGTCCCCCACATGCTTCTCTGCACTAATGGGATTACGTAACTTTTTCATAACCCTGGAGTCATACAAAGCCCCTGTGAATGGTTCCCTTTGTCACCACATACACTAGCTGTGGCCACTGTCATCCTGGTTTCCACCAACAATATGTCATTTGTGGTGTATAACATTTCAACCGACAGACAGGAAAGCTGGCAGAGAAGGTGCAGGACGATGCCAGGTTATTACTCAGAGGCTGGGGTTCTGATAACCCTCACTTTGGAGGGACCACACAGGAGTGGACCTGAGGGAAGGAGAGACAATGAGGAAGAAGGGAAGAAAGAAATACAGATGGTGACTAATTATGGAGGGATGACACATGAAGCCTCTAAAATATCTGTAGTGGAATCCTCCATCCATCCATTCTGGAGCCTATCTCAAAAGCTACAGACACTAGGCAGGGAATAACCCAGGATGGGGCACCAACTCATCCGAAGATACACACACAAACACACACACACACACACACACACACAGGTTTGTAATTATATCTTTGTGGGGACTCTCCATTCATTTCTATGGGGAAAACTCTAATCCCAACATAACGACCTTAACCCCTACCCAGCCCTAACTTAACCATAAGTAACCAAACTAAATGCAAGACTTTTGGCATTTTAACTTTTTTGATTATATTCACAGATCTCTATGGGGACCTGAAAAATGGTTCCCACAACACCAAAATAACAGGTTTTTATTACATTGTGAGGGACATTTGGTCCCCACGATGTAATACAAACCTAATCCCATACACACATACACACCTATGGAAAATTTGGCAACACCAGTTCACCTCATCATGTTTTTAGACTGTGACAGGAATCTAGAGTACCTGGGGGAAGCTCCACGACAACACGGGGAGAACATGCAAACTCCACGACAACACGGGGAAAACATGCAAACTCCACGACAACACGGGGAGAACATGCCAACTCCACGACAACACGGGGAGAACATGCAAACTCCACGACAACGCGGGTAGAACATGCAAACTTTATGACAACGCGGGTAGAACATGCAAACTTCATGACAACGCGGGTAGAACATGCAAACTCCACGACAACGCGGGTAGAACATGCAAACTTCATGACAACGCGGGTAGAACATGCAAACTTCATGACAACGCGGGTAGAACATGCAAACTTCATGACAACACGGGTAGAACATGCAAACTCCACGACAATGCGGGGAGAACATGCAAACTCCACGACAACGCGGGTAGAACATGCAAACTTCATGACAACACGGGGAGAACATGCAAACTCCATGACAACACGGGGAGAACATGCAAAGTCCACGACAACACGGGGAGAACATGCAAACTCCACGACAACACGGGGAGAACATGCCAACTCCACGACAACACGGGGAGAACATGCAAACTCCACGACAACACGGGGAGAACATGAAAACTCCACGACAACACGGGGAGAACATGAAAACTCCACGACAAAACAGGGAGAACATGCAAACTCCACGACAACACGGGGAGAACATGAAAACTCCACGACAAAACAGGGAGAACATGCAAACTCCACGACAACGTGGGGAGAAAATGCGAACTCCAAAACAACATGGGGAGAACATGCAAACTCCACCACAATGCGGGGAGAACATGCAACTCCATGACAATATTATATTGAGTAACCAGTTTGTAAAAGTTTTTTTCACCTTGAGTGGAACAGTGATTTACATTTTATTTATATAGCAGACACTTATATCTGAAGTGACGTACATTTTTGAGAAAGCAGGGTCAGACAGTCCCTGGAGCGACTGGGAGGTAAAGGTCTTTGCAAACGGTGACATCACTCTGCCGACTCTGGGACTTGAGCTGGTGACCTTCTGATCAGTGATGTTTTTGAAGACTCATAAAGCGGGACAGTTACCAATGTCAGCCAGCTCGAAATTACAGGCGAGCTCTCCGGTCGGGGTGCGGGGGAGGTGACATATTGAGCACTCTTTTCCCATGAAGGGGGCAAGACGAGGCTTTGAAACCCCCAGCAGGTGGGATTAAGGGGCACCGTCAATCACTAGCTGATCTAACCCAACAGGATTTAACCCAGTGAAGCTAGCAGTTAGTCTCAGTTGAACCCATTGATGATTAACCGTCCGCGATAATCTCACCATCGTAGGTTTCCAAGCCCCAATTCTCGTCTCTCTATGGAATCTTCCAGAAACTAGGCAGATCTGTCACTAGCCCTCTACAAAGTCAGCTATTGGATGGGAGGTAGGATGTTGGAGACTGTTGCCCTGGAGAATAACATGGGAATGAGCTCTGTTCAGAGGCGAAGGTGCAGAGGAAGCGGGAAGTGTGCAGCTGTCTTAATTATTTGATCATTACACCGAGGGTGAGGGGTAAAGAAAAGGAGAGAATCTCTCGCTCTCTCAATGACACCATTCCTGGGAGGAATGAGACCCACAGGGGCCACATCCCCCCCCCCTCCAGTCACGGCCGGCGGCGGGAGACTCATTTTGCCGTAACCCGAGCGCGACGCGGCCGCACATCACAGCAGGGCTTAATATCTCGCAGGAAGTCAGCGACGGCAAAGAGGAAGCTGATGACAGACGCACTGGGCCTTGGAACAGGAGCGGGAAACGCGAGTCGCCTGCCGTGTGCCGACCGGCCGCACGTGGGCCTCCCGGGGCGGGGGGGGGACTCCTGTAGCATGATATACAATCCCTGCCTTTTTATTTGAAGGAAGGGGGCTTTTACGTGTCACTACACCCCCTTGGGGGTCTTCTTGGCTTAGACATTGGGAGGAGGGGTACTACTGCTGTGCCACAGATATCATCAAACATTATAATTATCAGAAATATGATTCTTTTTGTTCATTACTTATTATAATTACGATGCTGTTGCATGGCATCTCAGTGGACACCCTGCACACATGTAGCATCCAATGTAGCAGCTAGTTTATGGGATATTTATGTAAAAATGCAAACTTGTGTGCAAACTGAGCCCCGGAAGTTCAGCTGCCTCTGTAACCCTTTGGCTGCCTGTTCCCTCCTCCGCGCAGGTTCTCTGTGTTCCCTGAACAGTCAGGATCCTCTCTCCGGTTTCCGGTTACCCCGCTTGGGAATCCGTGGAACTCCAAGCCGCTCACGCGGATTGTCGTTATTAACTAATTTTTATCGTAATGGGCCAGCTGCTAATGAGGGCACAGACACACCCTCTCCACTGGGAGAATCAGGCAGGTTCTTGCTACCTTGGTTGGGGGGGGGGGTCCTTTTGACAGGGAGATAATAGGGAGGATTCTCATGATCAAAAGCTCCACTTTGAGTGCCCGCCACCCCCGCCCCTCTTCTAAAAGCCCCTCTAATCTCACACTGTCATCGCCGCCCACCAGTCCCTCCCCCCGATCTGCTCTGGAGCTGAAGCATGACCCCAGATCCAGCAGATGGCTCTCCGGTGACTTCACTGGATGACCGTGGGTGGAGCAGGCCATCCTGACCCGGCCCGGTGTGGCCCGTCAGCCCCTGTCACTGAGTCCTCATTAAGACCCAAATGGTGCATCTCCATTGATTAAAATGTCATCCCTCAAATATCCCACCCACAGCGCTAGCCACTAATGGAAACGTGAAGGGGGCTCCCCTTCTCCACCAAGGATGGCACCAGGTAGGTCCACAACGTGCACAGACGCACCAGCGTTTCTCCAGGGTTTAGGTTCAATCATCCAGATTAAAATGCCCTCCATCTGCGATACCTCTTTCAAAGGAGTGGGTGGGGCCTTTCAGGGCCAGAGCTCCACCCCCTTCTGTTTATTGGCTCATTCCAAATGGACGAAAGCAAATGTTCCAGGCTAGGGGAGGAGCCTCCCAGGAATGCCCACCCCCCACTGTTACCCTGCTCTATACCCCTGTACAGGTTAGTGAGCACTCGGGTAATTGTTCTTCAGTGTTCAGTCTGTTATGTTTGTTTCATTCTGATTACCATTTAGTTTTGTTACAAAAAAAGCCACCAACAGTAATGTTACAGAATCTCTCATTTTCATAATCATGATAAAATGATGGTATCAATTAGAAGCAAGGATGTGGAGGAAGGTGAAAAATCTGTCAGCAATGTAGAGTATTAAAATATCGTGACACGATGTAAAACAGTAGAGGTTAACAAAACAGCAGCTCACTTTCCCCTTCATTTCCTCCTCCTGGCTGCAGCGCAGCCCCCGTTCCCCCTGGCGTGAATCGGACCATTAAGAAACAGACGAGTCTGAGTAGAACCGGCTAGCTTGAACAGAGGGGGTTCCGTCGGCCCAGTGGCGGAGGGCGGGGGGGTAAGGCAAGCCAGACGCCTGATTCCCGAAGACCGCCTTTGGGGTGGGGGGTGCTGTGGAGGGGGTTGGGTCTGTGGGGGTGGGACCAACCTGGCTGCTATTGTCAGGCGGCTTGCAGAGGGAGGGGGCACTCAGGAGGAGAAAACCTGTCCATTGGATCCTCTGTCATCCCTCGGTCTGCATCGTAGCTGTGTCCTACCCTCCTCTCTCACTCCGTCCCTCCCTCTCTCTCCCTCTCTCTCTCTCTCTCTCTCCCCACAGCCATTCTCGTTCGCCCTCCCTCCCCAGCGTCGCGGAGCACAGCTCAGTGGAGTTGAGTCGCGGGCAGGAATAGACGTCGCCGCCGGTGGCTGAGCCGAGGCAGAAGGTTCCGGACTCCCGTGTGGTCGCACTCGTTACGGCTCTCTCTGCAAAGTCTCGTCGCAGAAGGCCCCCCCCCACCCCGGCTCCCCCCCACTCACTTTTCCATGTTGTTCCAAGTTCTTCTGCTGCTGCCGACATTCTCGAGGGGGGAGATGTGAGGAGAGCCTCCTGGAGAACGCCACCTCCTCCAGCCGCCGCTGCGAAACTGACCCCCCCCACCCCAGCCGCACATTCCCGAATCACCTGTTAACCACCGGGTTCTGGGACCGCCGGGGACCGCGGCGGGGTGCGCGTTCGCTGCGGTCCGGTCCACTTACGCCACGCTTGCACCATGGACCTCCTGGGGATTATACTGCTGCTCCTGGGGGGGGCCACCCTGCCCTCCATCCATGCCTCCCAGCAGGAGAATCGCAACGTCCCGAGGCTCAAGCTCTCCTACAAAGGTGTGTTGTCCGCCGTCTTGCCTCCTCCCATCAGTGACTCCCCCGGGTCCTGCTGTGGCATGTGCTGTACACGCGTGTTCCTGTGGTCTCCCCGTAATGGGCATGCCGACGCCGTGAGATCCAGACGCGGTTCCTTCTGGACGGCGTGCCAGCCTCTCTCCCGCCCGGTGTTCCTGGCTCTGTGTCTGCCAAGTGCCCACAGCTGCCGTCTCCGGAGAATTCCGATTCACATTTAGAGAATTCCGATTCACATTTAGAGAATTCCGATTCACATTTAGAGAATTCCGATTCACATTTAGAGAATTCCGATTCACATTTAGAGATACGTCCATCAGTAAAGCTTCTCTTTTGGCGAGATTTTGCCACCTAACCCTAAATTCACTGCACTCTGAAACTTATCTGTGTAGGGATAATCTCATTTAGTGAAAACTTTTTTCTATACATCTGCATATTAGATTACTGAAGTGTTAATTTAATGTGAGTTTGTGAGCTTGTTAGTGTGGGATAGTTTTACTTTGCATTATTTTTCTCGGGGTAGATGTGACGCCCAATACAGCGAAGCAGGTGGGAATTCCTGGAGGATGAAGGATGTTTTTTGAGACGTCCTGAACTTGTCGTCCCGAGTATAAATCTGTGCCGCGGAGAGCCACAGTGCTAGACAATGTAATTATACATCTTGGAAAAATGAAGATGCTCCTTATGTTTTTCTTTTTTTCCTGAAATGTGGGGGGGGGGGGGGGGGGGAGATGTATGTCTCTGTCCTGAATATAATACCAATGTCAGGTTCCTGCCTTTTCTAAGGTACCTTAAAAGCTCAAATATGAAGATTCCTGCCAGACGTGCAAATTAATATCCCCCCCCCCTCCAGGCAGCTGAATGTCCTCTAATAGAAAACGGGTCTGGGGGGGGGGGCATGCCCTGTTAGCTCCCGGCAAACCCCCCCAAGGTGGAGGGCTGGGCGGTGTTTATAGCCTCCATATGTCTTTAGCAGCCGACGTCAAATAAATGCAGGATCGAGACAAAAAGAGAGAAACAGTGGGTAAGGTTTACAAAGCGGTATTTAAGAAAATAGATGCAGCCTAGATTCAGAAGGACGCTGTTTAGTGCGTCGTTAATTCAAACCTACGTCGGCGTCATTAACTGAAGTAATTTCGCCGCCCTGAGAATTATTATTCAAGGAGGGAAGCCTAATGTGCAGCAGCAGAGCAGGCAGGAAGGTTCTGCGGAGGCACGTCTGTTGAACCTTGAATGTTTTTTTGGTCTTTTGCCACGTGGGAGGACTTTGGTGTGAATATGTAATCCAAGCATAAATTGCAATTTATAATGTACACTGCTGTTCTCACCCGCACTCACTGTAATTCTTTCCCCTCTCCACTTAATGTGCTCCTGCTTTCATAGGAAGTACAAGGCCTTGAAACACAGTCCAAATATTAGATATGAGGGACAGAACAAGTTTTTTACCCACAGAATGGAATACAAGTGGATCTCCATGTTTTTTTTTATGTCGGAACACAACATTCAAATTTAGCACTGCGGGCAAGGCAAGTGATGTCGTTCGGAGGTGGGAATGCCAATCAGTGTTACAAGCAGTGTGGTGGCGTCGTGGTAGCTGATGGGCATTGGTGCAAGCTTCACGCTTGAGGGCCGTGGCCCCCTATGGGTGGGGAGGAGGCATTGCAACTGTTGTGTGGATAGGCGGATGGTCACCCCCATTACATCCGTTACAGAGACAGCTTGGACAAACGGCTCCGGTGATATTTCAGTACTACTTGATTGAAATGAGATTAGTCAGAGGTTATAAGGAGAGCCACACGGATGGCTACTGGGAATAACCAATAAGAGGATTCTGAATCTAAAGAGATTCCTCTCCTAGCAAATGCCTAAACGTTGGACCCAACATAATACTGGGCACCTAAGGTCCTTCACAGCGTCACACCTCAGAAATAATTTGGCCTTTGTGCTTCTCTGCCAATATGCACAAACAAAATACATTTTATGCACAACCTATAATAGTGAAGTTTAAACAGATGATCGTTTGCTGCTTTTACACTTTAAGGTACTCAGGATGAAAAATGAAAAAATGACTTTTTTTAGTTTGGCATTTTTGAAGGAGCTGGAGATGCTGTTAGTGGTGATTTCCAAGCCTCTGTCCCTCACAGTAGCTTCCCAGTGAGGCGACACTGTCTGAGCTGTTCAGCTCGCAGCAGAATATACTGACCCCTACAGGTTAGAAAAGGTGGCTTTGGCAAATAGAGAATGAGACGAGATCCGTCTGTAAAAATGTATATCGGAACTTTAACAAGCTTGTTAAACAACATGTTAATTGCGCTGCCCTGGAATAATTACAAGCCACCACACTTACTTACTTTAGCCTTGAAAATTAATAGTAGGGTTACGTTTATTTGGATGCGTGGACCTGTAAAACAGGACTGTAAGGAGCAAGAATCTCCTGTAAACCCTTTGAAATAGACCCACTGTGCACAGACCACACTGCATGCAGTCTGGAGCCATCCCATAATAACTTTACATCCTCATGAACTACCAGTTGGACGGATTCCCGTGACAAGGCGGAAATGGGTAATTACAAGGTGCGCTCGATTATTCCGTCCAGAACGGCGCTAGCTTCCATTTGATCGCCTCTCCGTGGGACGGTTTTCAGGAAGCCGCAGACCACACACTATAAGTACAGCGTTCCACTCGCCAGGAAAGCAACCCTTTCCCCTTAAAAAAAGTCTCCCCCAATTGTTCTGTCCCCCTAAGTGTCTCCGCTGGCACACCCACAGGCCGACATTATGGGGGAAACGTCTTGCCGATCTCTCAGTTAGAGGCTTCGAGGGGTGACCCCAGGTGATGCAATTCTGGGATAGTTCCCTGAGTTTCCTCCGACGACTGTACACCGTCAGAAATTTACGCGGAGGAGGCTGAGCCTGATTTAGCAATGTTGTGGGTGGGGAGGGGCGTCGCGGACAGTTCTGGAATCACATGCAACACGGTCACGGTGTCTGGCCGTGGACGGACAACTGTGCGCACTTGTCATCGATGTGCAATAAGCTCTGGCCACAGCTGAGTAATACTGAGTAACTGAGTAATGCTGCGTTGAGTACTGCGTTTGGGCCTGAACACGGGCGGACAGGGAGTTGAAATCGGTTCAATGACTCATAAACAACAAGACTTATTCGCTGAAAAGGCATGCAGAGAATCCATTTTCTTCAAAGATGAAGAACAATTTAAACCAAAAGTTTTAATAAAACGAATGTTAGAAATCTAAAATATACCTATATCTGCGGATTCCATAATAATTTATAGAAATATTCACCATCATCATAAATCATCATCATCGTCATCATCATCATTATTATTATATAACTGTGTTATATTTACCTATGACTGTTATTTCACCGTACACATTATTATAAAACCCGAAATAGCAGCTCAGGAATTTCTTTGCGTTTTCCCGGGAACGTCGGCATGTATCCCTGTGGCGAGACGGGACCTGTCATCATGGAGACCCTTCGCAGACGGCCGTCGGTCCGTTAGCCCGGCGCCCGCGGCATCGGCGTGATTAGTGAGGGGAGGAGGCTTTTGTTCAGCCATCAGCCTCCTTCATCACGGTGGGGATGGGGGGTTGCAGTCCACTGAACGCCCCCCCCTGTCCGTCATTTTACTGTCCATAAGACCTTAGCATTCTGTATAATCTATTGTATCCTGTCTGAGATCCATCAGTCCATGTCATTCCAGAAGCTCCACCAGGCTTTAATAGAGACTGAGACATCTCCCTCCTTTTGCCTGATTAGACTGTGCTGTCTTTGCGACGCAATGCACAAGTGCTGAGTACCAGAGCCTTTCAAGGGATTATTTTCTAACAATTATTTCAGTCAAAATACGTTATTTAGGGATACAGATTGGATTGATTTTAGCTATTGGTGCAAAGTACGTTACTGATTTAAAAGGTTTTGTGATATGAAATCCTAAGAAGAGGGTGGTTTTTTACTGCTGTCCTTTTTAAAAAGTGTCCTTTTTAATACCAGCACCTTTTTTCCAAAAAAATAAAGCTCTGTGAAATATTTTTTCTTTTGTAAAGTGAAATCCTAGTGACGTTTTTCCGCTCAGTGTCTTTCTTGCTTCCTTGAAGGTATCATTAACATGGGATTTTAGGCAGAGAAGCGATCCTTGTGCCCCCCCCCACACTGAAGAGAGTACCCCACCGCTGCTGCTTGCAGACATACATTGTGGGAGGGACGGGAGTATATTAAATACTTTCTCTTTAAGTCCCGTGGCTTAGGCACAACTCCAGGATTTCTGAAGGAGCAGAATGACTGAAGCCTTGGGTTCGACTCCAGAGCCCATTTCCCAGCATTCCTGGAAAAGGCTGCCCCCCCCCCCCCCCCCCCCC